GATTCCGCATAAACGTACAAACTCACAGACAGAATCAGTAAAGCCGGTGTCAAACTTGGACGGGCACCGCAATTTAAAGCCATATAACCTTGGGGCTGCGGCTATGTTTTTTACGTTCGAAAAAAGTTAAAATGCATGCTTGGTCGTCCGTGCGCGCAGTATGTATATACACATATACTGTAGATAAAGTAACTTGAATGCAAAGAAAATCATTAAGAAGTAAACTCTGTGTTCTTAGTGTCATTTACAGTGAAGCATGTTAACTTTTTGAATAGAACAAGCGTAAGATATTGGAATCGTAACGGGCCGGATAATAAAATCCAAGCACGCAATTACGCTAATATTGTACATGTTTAAGATCAAATTTCGCCAAGACACAAAAGAATCCCAAACATCTGAAATCGTCATCGAATGACTACATCCTAGTCCTAACGAATTATGCATATGTACCTTTATAAAGAAAGTAGGACCGTTTTTAAATAGGCGATTTCCAAGACGTACTTTGGCTAGTTTGGAGGGGTATGACTAAAGGGAGAGTTACCAACCGGAGAGTTATCTCGGAGAGTTATGATTTCGGAGAGTTATGTTCGAACCACGCCCACTTCCCCCAATGACCACACCCAATTTCTTAACTCTCCCGACGTTTCCTTGAAGTAATATGAGAGAGTTATGTTTGATGTAACTCTCTCTCTCGTTAACTTTATGAAGATGTTAGAGAGTTATCATTTTTTATAACTCTCCGCGTTCACGATTGTGGCAATGAAGAGAGTTATGTCAGTTTTTTGAGAAACCTTTAAATAGTAAAGATCTTATATTTCGGTATTTCAGTTTGTAGCGTGTCAATAGCGTGCGTCCAAACAGGAAATAGTACAACTTGACTCGGTCAAAACAATGAGATGCTTGCCGCAGATGGGTCAAATTACCCCCAGAAGCATGTTTTGACGTATATTTGGCAGTCAATACGGTAAGCATAGTTGCAAGGAAATTGACAAATTTGGAAAGGTTTTCTGGTTCTATCTAATACGAGAGCTGTATCTGAATGTTGGGCTTTGTAGGTAATCCAAGTGAGCATGTATAATAATTTATTTACTCGTACTCGCTTCACTTGGTAAGTACTAAAGTACTACTAGTTTCTACTAGCGTGGAATATTACAGCTGAAACTTGAGAAAAAAGTAAATTCACAATAATTTACTAAAATGTGGAAGTTTTTCTCAAAAAACTGACATAACTCTCTCCATTGCCACAATCGTTGACGCAGTGAGTTATAAAAAATGATAACTCTCTAACATCTTCATAATGTTAACGAGAGAGAGTTACGTCAAACATAACTCTCTCATGTTAGTTCAAGGAAACATCGGGAGAGTTAAGAAATTGGGTGTGGTCGTTGGGGAAAGTGGGCGTGGTTCTAACATAACTCTCCGAAATCATAACTCTCCGAGATAACTCTCCACTTCATAACTCTCCGTTTAGCCGGTCCCAGTTTGGAGAACCCGGAAATTTCAACCATCTTTGATCTAAAATAACCAAGTCAATCACATTTCGATTTATGGAGAAAAGATATCACAAGAAAGTTCCATATATTCTAAAAACATATATTGGAACAGCAGACCAAAACTTATAATGCGCGCTCAGCACAGCACATGATGTTTACTGCTTTATTTAGCGACATTTCTTGGACATTTCGCGTCATTTTTGGTTCGATTTTTGAAGTACTCTAACTTTTCTTCATTTTGTGTTTCATGGCTGAAACTTCAGTAAATATGGGGGGTTGGATAGGTCTACAATATATATAAAATCGAGGGAAATTGAAAAACTTTCAGTTTTTCATATCTGCCAGAAAATGGTGAATTATTGCGATTTTTACAGACAAGCTCTCTTAAGTCTTCCGCCAGTCATGCCGCATTTTACCACATGCAGGGCAGACTCGCAAACAAGGCAACAAATGGCATGAACCTCATCATACATCCATTAACAAAATCGCGTATTCGCGTATAGAATATAGTAGGAGTTTATTTCGGCATTTCTTGGTCGAATGTGTGCTCGTATAATAATCTACTGATATAGTGTACATTATGAATGCTAAGAAATGAAATACGTTTCACTATTACGAGTCTTCTTAATTCAATAATAATTCCTCATTCAAATAAGTTGATGGCAAAATCATGTATCGACTATATATAAATTTGATCGATTTCAAAACTCGATTTCTTATATATACAGTCCATCACAGTATTATCACTTCGACTCTGTCTCGGTACAATAGTGCGCCATGCGGTTGCGCTCAATGCGCGGCTGTCATACCATAGAAAATTTAGTTACTGTAAGATCAATACTGGGCAATTAAAGGTTGAGGAGACACCTATAGTTCCGAGCATATGTACACTATGTTTGTTAAACATTTGATATAACACATTTATTGAAACGTTTTGGGCATATTAATTTACGGCCGTATTAAAAACGGTTATCCGATATACTATTAAAACTTACTTGATTGCGCTTAATTTGCGCTGGCTAATT